AGATAATTCTGGAACATATGATGAAGCCAGTCATTTGTCATGAACAAGGGAGCAAAATGTCAGGAACAGCAAATTTTCATCTGCTTCCCTATACTAGGCTAATTTTCTGAGTAGCTAAGTCCCAATGAAACAGCAAAATCCAGAGAGGAATTCCAATAGGGGAAGGAAGCCATTTTCTGTGATATCTACTCTTTCCCCAGAGTTTAATTGTGGATTCAAAAGGTCAACTTCCAAGCAAATTATGCTGATAGATATTGAGTATTGAAAAGATTCAATGAAGCTGTTAAGAAGGCTGTGGAACCATAATTTTTGTTACTACATGCATTAGGGTTGGGTAGTGTTTGTCAGCTGTTAGGGAGAAAGGAAGGAAGGCAGGCAGGAAGGAAGGAAGCAAGCTTTAAATTAATACAGGTTCTCCATTGAACCTTGCATTCCTAGAGTTTCTTTGTATATCACTGGGCTTATGCAAATATCATCATGAATGATTTAAAAGGAGGGTCCCGATTTTGGATCTTTACATTTTCTACAAATTGTATTTGTCAAATTGCAGGAAATTCATTTAAAGATACAGTATGAAATTCTTGCTGTTTTTCTTTTCTCTGATAGCCATGTGTGTACTGAACATAATTTTAGAGAAAGCAATAATCTGTCGTTCTCCCCCCCCATGTTTATGAATTCTAATTTTATTTGTTCTCCTTCTTTAGGGACCCTTTCTAATGTACAACTTCTTTCATCAAGGCCGTGAACTTTACGACTAGGGCAAAATCTCAATTTGCTCTATAAAGTTACAGTTGTCTCCATCAGTAATACTATATATGGTTGGGAATGGATCTGTCAGCCTCCAGGAAAATGGTTACAATGGATTGGTGGAATCTACCCCTACGATGGAAGCAAATGGTATTCATCTTATCTTTAGAGCTGCACCACCATTGCTTCAGACAATGCCAAGAATGAGTTTTCCCTCCAGTTGAACTTTTCAGCTGCTGACACTGCACTGCTGTAACAACAAAAACAAAAACAAAAACAAAAACAGATCCAGGAAACTACAGACCTATCAGCCTGGCCTCAATACCAGGGAAGATTCTGGAAAAGATAATCAAGCATCGAATCACCAAACACCTAGAAGCAAACAAAGTAATAACCAAAAGCCAACATGGGTTTGTCAAAAACAGATCATGCCAGAATCTTATTGCATTCTTTGACAAAGTGACAAAATTAGTGGACCAGAGGAATGCTGTCAATATAATTTACTTGGACTTCAGTTAAGCATTTGATAAAGTAGACCATAACCTACTACTAGATAAAGTAGAAAAATGTGGGTTAGACAGCATCATCACCAGATGGATTTGTAACAGGCTGACCAACCACACTCAACATGTAGTCTTTAATGGAACTACATCTACATGGAGGGAATTTTGCAGTGGAGTACCCCAAGGCTCTGTTATAGGTCCAGTACTCTTTAACATCTTCATCAATGACTTGGATGAGGGGATAGATGGGGAACTCAACAAATTTGCAGATGACACCAAGTTGGCAGGAATAGCCAACATTCCAGAAGATAGGCTCAAGAAACAGAAGGATCTTGACAGACTTGAACATTGGGCACTGTCTAACAAAATGAAATTCAACAGTGAAAAAAGCAAGGTTGAATAAAGTAGGAAGAACGGTTGCAGGAACTGGATCTGTCTAGTTTAATGAAAAGAAGGACTAGGGGAGACATGATAGCAGTGTTCCAATATCTCAGGGGTTGCCACAAAGAAGAGGGAGTCAAACTATTCTCCAAAGCACCTGAGGGTAGATCAAGAAGCAATGGATGGAAACTAATCAAGGAGAGAAGGAACTTAGAACCAAGGAGAAATATCCTGACAGTTAGAACAATTAATCAGTGGAACAACTTGCCTCCAAAAGTTGTGAATGCTCCAACAGTGGAAGTTTTTAAGAAGATGTTGGATAATCATTTGTCTGAAGTGGTGTAGGGTTTCCTGCCTGGGCAGGGGGTTGGACTAGAAGACCACGAAGGTCCCTTCCAACTCTGTTATTCTATTCTATTATTGTGTGAGAGAACCACACTGACTAGCTTTGCCTGATCTTCTGAGCAAAACCAGGAAGCTGATTCTGACAGGGCATTTTTGTTCCATTCAGCAGATCAAAATTCAGAGAATGAAATCAGTAAACTCTTAGAGGAATATATCTCCCAGAAGAACATCTGAAAGGGTGGACCTAGCCAGATGGAGAAGTCAAGTCAAGGAGAGGTTGAAAAATAGACATCTTCTGCCGAATTAATCCAGCTGTCTGAGTCCACTCCAAAGAATTTAGGCTGATTATTCATGGGAATTTTAATAAAGCATAACAGTAAACCTATCATTGATGGCATGGAAATGACATCGTTTTGTGCAGCTCACTATGCAGTTACAAATTGGATTGAATTACTCATTTCATCTTCTAATCCTTCTCACTTGCCACATCAGATTAATTATTTTTCTTTATTTATTTTCTTTATTTCTTTATTTTTCCTTAACTTTATTTTTTATTTTATTATTTTACCAGTGGTGAAATTCAATTTTTATTACCAGTTCTGTGGGTGTGGCTTGGTGGGCATGGCAGGGGAAGGATACTGCAAAATCCCCATTCCCTCCCCACTCCTGGGGGAAGGATATTGCAAAATCTCCATTCCCACCCCACTCTGGGACCAGCCAGAAGTGGTATTTGCTAGTTCTCTGAACTACTCAAAATTTCCGCTATCGGTTCTCCAGAACCTGTCAGAACCTGCTAGATTTCACCCCTCCTCCACCCCACAGGACTGGGTCAAAAGAAAAGTTGGGGTCTCTATGTGGGAGAAGGACTGCTTCTTCTTCCCCACCAAAAAATCTGGAAAATCTGTGTATTTAATGGGCAACTTGGTAATTCCCCCTTTGGGGTTTTCTGCCAGTTACTGCAATGGATCTTCTGGTCTGCTGCTTGTACTTGGACAAGTTGATAAGTTGAAGCTGTAAAAGACAGAGTTCTGGTTTCCAATTTATAATAGGATTTGAAGTTTCAGGCTCTTTGATCCCAAGATGATCCGAAAGGGATGGTGGCTGGTGAACATCTTCAAAGAAAAACAATAAAGTCCCATTGCCTGTTAAAAATAAAGCACCTTTGGCACAGGTTTTACCTTTGCTGTGGGAGTTACATTGTCTGACAATGTGCTTCTAGGTACAATTCAAGGTGCTGGTTGTCCCTTTTCAATGCTACATGGCTTGGGACCAGGTTATTTGAAGAATTGACTCTTCCTGATTACATCCATGTGATCCAGTGGAGCAGGGAGGCAGCGAACTTTGTGAGTCCTCTCTCTTAAGTAAGGAAATCTGGTGGGACCCAGAAGAAGTCTCTTCTTCATGATGGCTCCCTCCCTCTGGAACATCATCCACACTGAGATTAGATTGGTCCCTACTTTGACCCTCTTTTTTTTATTCTTTGTATATTGGGTTTTTATTTTTTTTAAGCAGCTCAGCGACACTGACAGTAAATGGGTGAACATATAAATTCTCTTAAATAAGTAGAAAAGAATACTCCTTACAATGATATGTCGTAAGGTTTTATATAAGGATATTCCTTAAATTTCAATTTATAAAACTGGTAAACTATGTGGGACATCCTGTCACCAATGATGAGAACAGGAGAAGCATCACTTGCAGAGAAGTCCAGCGTAACTAATTTTTAATTAGGGTTGGACTATCATTATAATTTGGTCCATTTTCCCTATCCATAGCATCTATCTATCTATCTATCTATCTATCTATCTATCTATCTATCTATCTATCTATCTACCTACGTACCTACCTGCCTACTTGTTTATCATCTATATATCTACATGTTTACCTATATACTGTACCTTTACACCTCTCTATCACGTTCATCTAGTGAACACTCAAAATTTTCCTCCAGGTTTTTTCATCATTCTAGTCCCTCCCTCGATCAGAGAGGACTGTACATTTTTTTCTAGGATTTGAGCTGAATTTCAGCTGATTTTCGTGAAAAATGCCAGACTTCTTATTCTAAACTAGGGGTGTCAAATTCAATTTCATTGAGGGTCGCATCAGAGTTGTGTTTGACCTTGGGGGGCCTGGGGGGGAATGGCCAAGGTAGGCATGGTCAGCATGATGTCACTCATGTCAGGGGGCATCTGTAGTGGCCTCAGATCTCTTCCAGTAAAAATGAGCTCCTGAGCTCAGTTTTCAGGTGGGACGGCCTCCTGCAACCCTCTGCCAATGAAAATGGAGGTTGGGGGATAATGTGTTGCCCTTGTGAGCTCCTTTTTTGTCTGGGAAGGCCTCCTGCAACCCCCTGTCAGCAGGCCAGTCCTTTGATGTTACCAGGGGGTTTTGCAGGCCACATCTAAGTACCTGTTCTAAACCATGGGTGTCAAACTCGCTGCATCACATTGACATCAAAGGCCCTTTTGCGACATTTTTTCCCATTCACGGATCTGGGGTGGGCCAACAGCTTTACATCCTACCAAGCTCTGTTTTTGCTGGCAAAGGACTGTAGGAGGCCATCACAGCCTCTCCCCCTGATCTCGCCTTCTTCCGCTGGAGACAATGGATCCCCACCAGCCCTGCCCAGGCCACCATAGGCACCCCTGACGTAACTGACATCAAGCTGGCCACACCCACCCTGGCCATGCCCAGCCAAGTCACACCCAACTTGGCCACACCTACTGCTCCTCCCCCCGAGGTCAAATGCAACCCCGATGCGGCCCTCAATGAAATCAGGTTTGACACTGCTGAAATAGAGTGTTGAAAGAGACAAAATGTTATATTCAACAACCAGGAAAATGGGTGAATTGCAGCACCCAAGTACTTCTCTTGGAATGGGTATCTATAAGAAACATCAGTGTTAACAGTAATCCTCCACAAATCCTCTTTTGAAAGAAATATTTATATATATATTTCTTATAGAAATCTTTCTCTTCTTTTTTTGTCAGCAATTTGTTTGAGGAAAGAAGATCACATGGGGCACTAATTTCTTTTTGTGAGATGCTCCTTGTGGTTGAGCTGTGGCCGCAAAACAATGATGTAGCATTTTGGCGGGAATATGCATCCCAGTAATGCAGCACCAGAGGCCAAGATGGAGAAGACCTCCACAGCTACCATGGCTTTGCCTTTTGTGCTCAGATAGGCTGGAAAGAAGGAGATCCACACACTGCAAAAGGCCAACATGCTGAAGGTGATGAACTTTGCTTCGTTAAAGCTGTCAGGTAATTTACGGGCAAGGAAAGCCACAATAAAGCTGGCGATGGCCAAGATTCCCATGTAGCCCAAGACACAGTAGAAGAAGGAAGCTGATCCCTCATTGCATTGTAAAATCATTTCTTGGAGCTCTGAGTGCATGTCCAACTCAGGGAATGGGGGAGATGTTGACAACCAAAGAATACAAATCCATACTTGGAAGAGAGAACAGGAAAGGACAATAGAAAAGGCCAATCTTTTCCCCACCCACTTCCTCATCTGAGATCCTGGTTTCGTGGCCATGAAAGCCACAACCACAGTGATGGTTTTGGCCAGTACACTAGAAATAGCCACTGAGAAAGTGACACCAAACATTGATTGTCGGAGAAGGCAGGTCACTTTGCCAGGTTGGCTGAGGAAAAACAAAGAGGAGAGAAAACAGAGCAGAAGAGAGAAAAGCAGGGTGTAGGTGAGGGACCGGTTGTTGGCTCTGACAATGGGAGTATCCCTGTGTTTAATAAAAGTTCCAAGTACCAAAGATGTCAAGAAGAAGAAACAAAGAGCAATTGAGGCCAAACCAATTCCTAAGGTTTCTTCAAAGGTTAGAAACATCACTGTTTTCAGAATACATCCATTCTTTTCTTCATTTGGATAATGATCTTCTGAACATTCAAAACAGTCATCCATATCTGGAAGAAAAATCAAGGATTTTGTTATTGTAGTAATTCTATACCATTGAAACTTACTTAGCATTATGCATCCTAAATTGGTTTATTAAAGATTTCTTAAGTTCAAAGAAAATTGGTAGAATGCCTACCTTTAATATGGGTTTTAAATTGTGGGATTTTAATTATGCTAAATTAATTATATATTTTTATTGTTCTTCGGTTTTTAACCTTTTGTGAGCTGCCCCAAGTCCTTCGGGAGAAGGGCGGCATATAAATTTAACTAAATAAATGAATAAATACCTACCATTTTGGTTTGAAATCTTCCCTTCAGGGCATGGTACACAGTCATAGCAGCAGAATTGATTTCCCTCAATCCCTTTCTTCCAGTATCCAGGGAAACAAGGATCATTACATCTGGCAAGTGGAAGAACCTGGTGATAATCATAAAAGGTTTTGAAAAGGGAGAAATTTAAAACAGTTTGTGATATTTCCTTTATGGAGGAACATTATTTTTGACTTCCACAAAGAATACTGAGTTTCCAGAAAGGGCAAGGTGAGTAAATAATAACACATGGTTACAATCTCATGGAAACATGTCCACTCGTATGATTTCAAACAGAAATGTAAACCAAATATAAATCAAATTTAAAAAATAAAAAATAAAAAAAATATGCAAACATGGTTTTTATATTGTAATATCACTGTGTCAATTTGATGATTTCTTGATCATCAGCAACATTTGAAAGAATATGCCATTGTTTATTTAAAATCAAAGAAATTAGACTTCTAAAGAGAGTACATTCAATATAGGATCATAATGGATTAAGGCAGTGGTTCTCAACCTGTGGGTTGTGACCCCTTTGGGGGTCGAATGACCCTTTCACAGGGGTTGCCTAAGACCATCGGAAAACACATATTTTCAATAGTTTTAGGAATAATTTTATGGTTGGGGGTCACCACAACATGAGGAACTGTATTAAAGGGTCGTGGCATTAGGAAGGTTGAGAACCACTGCATTAAGGCATTGTTGATTCAATAATTTGATACCTGGTTAAAAGCTGGGTGCCAGATAATCACATCTTCATCAATGAGTAATTCCTTCCCCTTTGGTGCCTTGAGATCCATCTTTCCAACTTTGACTCTCTGAAAGGATCTGTTTGGAAAAGTGATCAAGTTGGTGATGTCAAATCCACCTGTTGCTTCCCCTTTCTCATTCAGGAACACTCTCTCCCCAGCTGAATTGTTAAAGGAAATGCCTTGAAGAAATGAGTGGAGCTACTTGAAAGACAATAGAAGAGAGAGGGGGAACTGATAGTAACATAATAGAAAACATCATAATCAAGTTTAATTCAATAATTCTTCATATTCCAATAATGTTTATTGAAATATGTACACTTAGAAATTTGATCATCAATATTACATGGAAATGTACATGTCTGCTTAATTATTTATTTGATGTTATTTTAAGAAATGGTAGGCATGAACTGAAGCAGAATGAAAATAGGCTTATGGAATTGTGTAACTTTCTTCAATTATGCTTTAGGTCCACTACTTCAACAATTAATTCAAGATAGAGCATATATAATATTTCCTCCTTGGTACAAAGCTATTTGAAAGTCTCAGATTTAACTAATGTCCTTTTGCCAGATTTTGGAACCTGGGACACAAGCATTCTTTGACACACAAATGAGAGGAAGAGATTATTGCAAAGATAGGTTTGTTTGATACTATGGATGCCACGAGTAAAAAGGATCACTTTTATTTTGTTCCTCTAAAACTCTGATAGAGACAGAAAGCTTTGTTTGTCATCCATGAAAATTTCATGAACCACAGTGAAAGTTCTTGGAGAATTGATTTTTTTTTTGAAAGAGAAAATGAATAGTAATCTAAATTATCATTTTATATATCTCTTATTGTGCAAGCTATGGTGATTTACTTAATAACTCCTACTGACAGTTAAACCATAATTTATATCGTAGCATTTGATTGATCAGAATAACAGAATGACAGAGTAATAGGAAAACAGAATAACAAGAGAAATCAGTTTTCTTTATCTATTTTAAAGAGCACAGTATTAGAAAGTTGCAAGGTACCATGGAAATCTTCTACTTATCTTCCTTCTCAAGGAGGTGACCCTATACCCTTTCACAGAAATGGCTGTCCAATCTCTTCATAAAAGTCTTAATTGATGGAGCAAACACAACATCTAAAGGCAAGCTGTTCCAATAATTAATTGTTCTCATTGTCAGAAAAGTCTGTCTTATTTCTATCTTGTTTCTTATACTTGATTACACATGCAGAAAATATTAAGACTTTCCACATTGGGTTCAAAAAATCATTTTATGTCAAGCTGCTCATTGAAATAAAAGAATTCTTCAATGCGAAGGAAATACCTGCCAAGCCTGCAGATTTGGAAGATCAGGATTTTTACACATTGTAGTTGTCTTCTTATTGAACCCCAACATGTATAGATCCTGCAAAGCATGAGCCACAGAATAAACAGCATTGTAGATACTGTAGCTTTCGCCAGTCATTTCCATTTCAAAGGCAGGTCCAGGAAGATCGTCTAGCTTCATCTCCCTAGTGCATTTTCTATTCTGCATTTCTTGTAACTCTGGTTTTAGAAATGAACAATCAAATGCTTGTTCCCAAACTTCCTGCAGAAACCCATCTCTGTAGTCTGAAAGTGGATTGATGGTCTGAAGAAATTCCTTGAAACCTACAACTTTTGTTGAATGAACAGTGAAGGAAATTGCCCCATGGAACATCTGCAGGTCCCAGTTGATTTGATATCCTGACAATATGAAATCAATCTGTGCAGTCATGATCCACACCTTTCTAAATAATGTAATTTTCTTGGTGTCAGGATTTACTGGAAACACTGCAAATCTTAGCCACATAATTGTCAATGGTTCTCCATAGACAAGAACTGCATTGATTTTGCTATTCATCAAATGAATGGAAATCATTGAGATTGTTTGATAAGCTTCTGGAAAGTCTTCCAAGTGGACCAGTTGTGAAAGTGTTTCTACGAACGACGAGCAGATTCCATTCTCTGAAAGTAAGGGCTGCATTTTCTGTACGAAACTTTCTCCGTTGTTGTTATCCATAGTAAATATCCCAATCCACGTCCACCTGAAATGATGAAGTAGTTGGATAATCCCAATGTACTGATGGTCTTCTTTGGGGACCATGAAATAAAGTGAAGAGATTTTACTGGTCTCAAATTCCTCTCGGGCTAATGAGCCGTATGTCAGCTGCAAGAAAGTGGTGTATTATTCTCTTGAGTTGTTAGATCAAATCTGATTGTCCTGTCTAGTTTCATATCAAATATATCCAATGGAGGAATTATTTTCCTGAAATTCTTCTAAGTATTAATATGGAAAGGAATTACTTAGAATTATTTCAAACAGATATGATAATATAAACTCAACTGATCAATTCTTTTCATAGAAGCAAAGAGTTCAAATCTTCCCTCTGGTATGGAATGTCCATGGATTCATACTTCCTGTATTTGGCATAGTTGTTTCAAAATTATGCTAACTAATAGACCTGAACCCAGGAAGAACATCTTAAAACAAACCTGAGACTAAATTTTAATGCTCTTTAATTATTCAATAACAATAATGGCACCAGAATATAGATTTTTTTCTGTTTAATCCCTTAACAACTTACTTGTGGAATCTTGAACAAACTTGTAATTTCAGCAATATGAGATGATGTGTCAAAATCCAATCCTCCAATAATAGCCATGATTTTCTTCTGGTTATCACATTTGTAGTTAGGGACAAATTCCTGGGATTTGAAAAGCAGGTCTAGATTGGTGCGATAGGTCATCCTCGCACTGAGGTAACTGTCATAGATGTGGAACCCAAGAGTGACATTTGGTAAGATCTGGGAGTCCTCATTGATCTCCTTCACAGCAAAGGCCAAGGCAAGGACGTGTTGATGAAATTTGGTGAATACACTGTAAATAGGTTAAATGCCCCCATTGAAAAAAATAATTCTACAACTTTTTTTTCTCTGACAGTAGTAGGAAGATTATTTCTTTGGTACAATGCTTCATAATTCAGTGTTCAGATTTATTTTAAGCAGCATTTTCCCTGACTTCCAACAAATATCTACTGCAACAAATACAAGTAGTGATTTTCTCAAAGTACTATATTTACTTTCTATGAGATTTTCAAAAAATGATATATGAACAGATTCAGGAGGTATCACTCATTTACTATATGTATGTTTTGTGAGGAGAGATAGCGCCAAATCTTTCTAAAAAATATCTTTACCTCTGTAAACATTCAAATAGACCTCTTGATCTGAAATTTTATACATTTCATGTGAAACACTTTAAAAGAATGTAAAGAAAGTTATTTCTTCTATCATAACCAGATACAGTTGAAAGAAAAACAAGGCATAGATTACATTAAAAATACTACATTTATGCACAAACAGCTTTTATTCATATAAAAGATTTTTGAAAGTCTGCGTAAGATTAGATAAAGAAAAAAATCCTTACGCTGGTATTTCATAAGGCGTTACAATAGGATTTTCACTAAATTTAAATTCATAAAAGTGGTAACCCATGTGAGATACCATCCCACCAATGATGAAGTCTCCAGGCTGGTACCACTCATGTGGAACAAGGAAAGCATCACTTGCAGGGCAGCTCAAAGTACCTACTTTATGCACCAAAAACATCAGGAGAAACATCTTGATGATCTTGTTATTAGGAAAATGTTTTGCCTTCCATCCTTCCCACAGAGAAGCATATATAACCCAACACTTCATCTAAAGGTAGATCTAAGGATTATATTTGAGAATACATCTAATGAGAAAATCTATCATTTTCTATTTGAAGATCCATGTGAGTACAAATTTTTATCTTGAATATCACAAGGATTTGAACAGATACTCTATCAGAAGAGAACAGAGGGTGGATACTTGAAGCAATGAATCTGACAGAGAAATTATTACCCCTTGTACCAAACTCTCTATGCTTCAAGACTTATTTCATACTCAAACAGAAACCTTCATTGTTGTTGAATTTCAATAGCCTTTTGGGAAGCCTTTGATGTTTTGGCCTATAGTAATTCCTCTAGGATATAATTATTTTATTTTGATGAGATAATAAGTAGCTGATAGTTCAGCTAATTTTTTAAATAAGCAAATGCCAACAAAAGTAATATAAGGGACATATGCAAGACAATATATATTTAATTGTTATTTCTTTGTAGAAATAAATACAAAGCTTTTTTTTTTCAAGATGACACATTTATTTTCTACTAATTTTTCACAAAATCAAATATGAACAAATCCAGCAGCTATCAGTCATTTATTGTAGTATGTTTTCTGAGGAGGAACTATGCCGAACATTTTTTAAAAAGTGACCTTAAGCTCTCTAAATTGCTCCAAAAAAATTCTTGCAAAGCCTTCTGGGAAGCCTTTGATGTTTTGGCCTATAGCAATTCCTCTGAGATATAATTATTTTATTTTGATGAGATAATAAGTATCTGATAATTCACCTATTTTTTAATGAGCAAATGTCAACAAAAGTAGTATAAGGGACTTTTGCAATACAATGTATATTTAATTCTTATAGTTGTAGAAATACAGTGCTTTTTTCCCAAGAAACCACATTTATTTTCTATCAATTTTTTACAAAATAGAATATGAACAGATCAAAAAGGTATCAGTCATTTACTGTAGGTATGTCTTTTTCCCTTTTTTGAAGATGGGAACCACATCAGCTCTTTTGCGATCCTCTGGTAGTTCCCCAGTGCTCCAAGATTTTTTAAAGATATGATACAATGGTTCTGAGATAATATCTGCTCATTCAGAACTCTGGGTTATAATCCAAGAGGTCCTGGTAATTTATATTCATCAAGGCCAGACAGGTGTTCTCTTACCATTTTCTTGCTTATTTTAATTTTTATTTCTAGTCTGTCTTTTACAGTTATGTTTTTGGTAGGTTGGGCTATAGTTTCTTTTTGTGTGAAGACTGATGCAAAGAATGAGTTAAGCAGCTCTGTTTTGTCTCTACTGCCTGCTACTTCCTTGCCATCTTCTCTCTTTAGTGGACTGATTGTTTCCTAGACTTTTTTTTCTTCTTATTTATATCTTGAAAGAAACTTTTTTTTTATTATTATCTTTGACTTTTTGTTGCAAGTCTTTGTTCATTCTGAGCCTTTGCTTTCCTGACTTCATCTTTGCAGATTTGGGCCATCTGCTGCCTTAGTTATGTGTCCCTCTTTCCATTTTTTGCACTTGCCCTTTTTGTCTTTCAGTTTATCAGATAGATCTTTGTGCAACCATGCTGGTTTTTTCTTGGATATTTTGTTTTTCATTTTTAGTGGTATTGCATTGGACTGGGCTTTTATGATCATATTTTTCAGTGTTTCCCATGCTTCTTGAGTTTTTTTTCCCCTTTAGGATTTTTATTCATGAAATTTTGCTTAGGCTCTCTCTGAGTTTGCTAAAATCAACTCTTTTAATGTTTAAGACACTGGTTGGATTGTATTCTATTACTTGTGTTTGCATTATATAGAATTCTAATATGATGTGGTCACTCTCACCCAAAATTCTGACAACTTTAACTCTCTTTATCACTTCTTCTCTATTAGTAAGAATGAGGTCCAGTATAGTTTTTTCCTCTAGTTCTCTTCTCTATCTTTTGGGTGACAAAATTGTCACCTAAATTGGTTATGAATCTGTTCAATCTCCCACTTGCCTCCCAGTTGATATCAGGGTAGTTAAAGTCTCCCATTACTACTGTGATATGTTTTCTACATACATTTATTAATTGATTAGCAAAGAGTTCAACTATTTCTTCTGCTTCGTTGGTTGGCCTGTAGTATACGCCTATAGCAATGTCATTTTTCCCCTTTTATATTGGCCCATATGGTTTATAGGAGGTTATCATCCTTGATTTTGTGTATTTCTGTAGAGATGTAGTGATCTTCTATATATAATGCAATTCCATCTCCTCTTTCGTTAGGTCTGTTTCTTTTGAATAGTTTGTATCCTTCTATCATGAGTTTCATCCCACCAAGTTTCAGTAATGGCAATTATATCATATCTGCCTTCGTGTACTAATACTTCAAGTTCATCCCTAAACTTTGAGCATTAGTGAATATGTATTTGAGTCTTTATTGGTCTTGGGTATGTTTCTTATATCTCCTACTTTGTAAGTGAGATTTCCATCTTTTCCATCACTCTCTATTGCATTGTGTTTTTCTTTTTAATTTTTTTTTCTCTTTACTCCCTTCCTCCTTATGTGGTTGGTTATCCAGTAGTTTTTGCTTGGAATTAGGTTCTATAGGTCATGAAGATTGCTCCCCACCCTCAATTTTAGTTTAAAGCCCTTTGGAGAAGATGAGCCAGTCGTTTTCTGAATGTATTGTTTCCAGTTCTTGTGAGGTGCAGTCCATCCCTTGCCAGTAGCCCTTCATCTAGGTCAGGGGTCTGCAACCTTAAACACTCAAAGAGCCATTTGGACCCATTTCCCACAGAAAAGAAAACACCAGGAAACCACAAAACCCTTTCCATGCCTGATTGTTTCTTGAGTGGCCGCAAAACTAGCATATGTAGTTGAATTAAACGTTCTTTTTTTTTTCCCTGAAACTTTTCTTTTCTTGGATTTATCCATGGTTGGCCTACCAGGGATTGAAAAGCTCAATAAATTGTGTGCTGGCGGGTGTCGCACATTGGCAGTTGTGATGCATATTTTGAGCGATAGGGAGCTGAAGCAGAGGGATGAAAGAGCCACATGCAGCTCCAGAGCCGCAGGTTGCCGACCCCTGATCTAGGTAATGCAGATCATGGTCTAGGAAGCCAAACTTCAATTGATGACACCAGTTTTTCAGCCAGTAGTTCATTTCTAAAATCCTTTGCTCTCTCAATGGATGTTGGCCTTTTATTGGAAGTATAGATGAAAATACCACTTGTGCTCCTAATTCTTTAACTTTCTTCCCTAACTGTTTGTAATCTCTTGTTATTATTTTCATATTCATTGTTCTGTCATTGGTGTAGGAATGTAGTGTAGGAGAAGAAAGGGGTAGTAATCCATGGGTTTGATTATTTTAGTAAGGTACCCAGTTACATCTTTGATTTTTGCTCCAGGGAGACTATATAACTCACTAGATTGACTGCTTTGTCTGCAAACTATAGTTTCTGTTCCCCTAAGAATTGGATCTCCTATCACCAATATTCACCATTTTTTCTAGGAAGTCTGGAATACCTTTCTTCCTATCATAGGAATCCTAGGTTGTGCCTCTTTTTTAGAAACTATTAATGAATGCTCTTTTGTGAGGGTCTGTATATTTTCTTCCAGGGGGAAGATATAAACGTGATTGTTCAGTTCCAGAGGGGCTTCATTGGAGTGGGCTAAGGTAGATAGTTAGGGGTTTTGTTCTTGGTTGTTTTCTTTTAAGAGTGACATGTTTCCATCCATCTTGTTCTTTGGGTAAATATGTAGGCTGGTTTTTTACGGAAACTGTTTGTTCTCTAACGTGTTTCAGTGTATCAGTTTTCTTCTTTATGTCCATATTGGGTCATCATTTTTTTAAAGAAGCTTCTTGCTCCCTATTGTGTTTTACTTTGGTGTAGTCTTCTTGTTTAGGTTGGGATTTCTCACTTTGCTCATTGAGTTTCAGAGTAGCTAGAGTTGCCTCCAAACCCTTTACTTTTTCTACTAGTAATTCAAGTAGTTAGCATTTGATACATACATACTTTTGACCTTCTGTTGGCACAAGTTG